GCAACATGGCATGATAACAATAGGGTACCCCCATGCCTTAATCATTCCCCCTCTAGCTCTGCCCACTTTTCCCCCTCAATTCTTCTCTCTACCTTCTTGACTTTGGAAGAACCGGGCTTTTTTTGTCATAGAACGCCCAGAACGGAGTTCCGGCACCTTTTTTGGATGGAACCTTGTAGGGTAGGCAAGGCGGGTTGTATGACGTGTGTGAGTTCTGGCACCTTTTTTTTTTTTTTTTTTTTTACAAAAAACGCACTGGGAAGAACCATGATGGACATTTTGTTTACTAGCTGACCTGCTATCTCCTGCTAGATCTATTTGTCTGGAGCAAAGCTTCTCAACCTTGGAACTTTAAGATGTGTGGACTTCAATTCCCAGAATTCCCTAGCCAGCCCTGGTGGCTGTAGAATTCTGAGAATTGAAGACCACACGTCTTAAAGTTGTCATGGTTGAGAAGCACTGCTTTGGAAGGTTAAAAACCTCAGAAGGAAGATTCTGTCAGGATCTGTTCTGCTGCTTTTCACAGCAGCAGATGATTCCAAGACTTAGAAAAACCCACTCCATGGGCCTCCATAACCCTCTGGGCTTCTCACTTGGTTGTCCTACTCCAAACTCGACATGATCTGACATGTCTGTGGCCAAAGCAAGGTTTAAAAAGAAACTTGTGAGTGTCACTCACAGTGTTGTAGAGCTCTTCCAGACGTGGGATGGTGAGGAATCTCTGCATGTTGACCCCGTTCTCAATCAAAAGCTTTACAAAGTCCACCCGATCCAAGACAAGGGCATCCAACATTGCTTGCTCCAGGGCATTTACCTACAAAAGCACTGACAATGAGGGAGCCTGGCCCATAAATGCAAAAATACTGTAGCTGTGGAAAATATGGAGGTGATCTTGACAAAACTGGGTTAGTTTTGGCTTTGGTTTCTTTTTCATGGCTTAGATGTCAAGCTATGAAGATTGCTTGTGTTAGGACTGCCATGCTGCTTCTAGCCTGCCTACAGTTGTGAGGGGGGGAGAGAAAGGTTTGGAATGCACAGGTGGATTCTGTCTGGATGGGAACCAAGGTCACCGGAGGCAAACAGAGACTTCCTTCTCATAACAACTGCCTGAGGATTAATTGGACAATGTGACCTGAACTGTCAGAGAGGAGAAGAAAAGTTTGACTCTTTTAATTATCTTTTCCCCCGCCATATTGCCAGAGCTGGTTTTCAACTCTTTAATGCTGTATCCAATAAAGTTTTGCGTTAGAGATCTAAATGGCTCTGCTGTATTTACTTTTTTGGAATCCTTAGCCGGAACCTTGACACCAGGATTCTGTGAGAATCCTAATTTAGTTTGGGGTTAATCCACCTAATTTCAATAAATACAAGATGTAATGGGTGGAAGATCATGAAAGAGAGATCCATCCTAGATCTAAGGAGAAATTTCCTGATTGTGAGAACGATTAATCAGTGGGAGATCTTGCCTTCTAGAGTTGTGGGTGCTCCATCCCTGGAGGTTTTCAAGAAGAGACTGGACAGCCATTTGTCCAGGATGGTCTAGGACCTCCTACTTGAATAGGGGTTAGATTAGATGATCTCCATGTTCCCTTCCAATTCTATGTTCCTCATTAAGCCAATGATCACAACGACTAGCAAACAAATAGAGCATGTGGAAAGCGCCTGGCTCAGAGGAGTTTGCAGGCTACGTGCAGAGGAATGGGTTCAGGTTGATGCAGATGGAAACCCTCCTCCCATCCTCAGCCTTGTTGAAATGAGCCGCCGAGCCCTTGCCAACCTCACCCAGTTTAACAGTTCAAGTTTCCTTGGATCCAGCTCTTCTTCCGGTTCCTCTTTCTGTTTTCCACCTTTCTTTTTTCCTTTCCCTTTCCCTCTTCCTCCTTTCATTTGAGGGACGGGAGATTTCTTTTCCTTTTCCTGAAGTGCCCCATTTCCGGGGGCCAGGCTTCCCAGGGGCTGGAGAGGAAAGAACATGTTGGGTAGGTATAAAACCAAGGGCCTCCTGTACTCTTTTATCCCCACAAAGAGAGAGGCGAGCTCTGCAGATCTAAGTGAAAAAGGAGACTGGATATCCTCCTTTCTCTTCTCATGCAAATTTGGCTGGTGGAATTACAGGAAGAACTGGTTGGACAATCCATATTTGACAAGGGAGAGAGGCTGAAAAGTAAGCACACACTACACAAAGCCAGCTACAGTATAAGGCCTTTTCTCACTGCTGCATTGTGTTGCTGGCAAACTTCAGCCTGGACTGGAGATGGTTAATGCCGAGAACAAATCCCTCAGAGATCTAGTTATGGAGGAGAAGGTTAAGATAACTAGCACAAGAATTCCAGCAAGGATTCTCCCTTCAAAGGGGAAATCTATATTGAGGCAATTTGGGTGGAAAGACTTTTGTTCTTTTCTTTTTTTTAATATCAAGAGGAGAAAGTTTGAGTCTAAGACATCTTTACCGGCCAATGGTGCCCAAAGACGAAGATCTGGCTGCGCGCAATATCGACCCGGTTCCAAGCCAGAGCTAAGCTCAGCTGATCGGGTGCAGAGACGTTGGTGCCTAAGGAAACAAGCAAACACACACACAACAATTTTTGTACAAATACAAGAAAGGACTTATGGGTATAATGTCCAACTTTTTTTTGTCTTGGGTTAGGTCATCCTAAAATAAAAAATGAGGTATTGTTTTTCTTGGTCTACATTCCCTGTGTTACGTCCACCAAGCTGGACAGTTAGAACTTCAAAGACTTCATTAAACTATCTTTAGTGATAGTTTTGGGATCCATACAGGTCTTGGGAACCACAAGAGGAATTTCCCAGTCTGGTTATTAGTGAGTTCATGAAGGCAGAGTCTCTTTGAAGGATCTGAAAGGCTTCTCTCCAAGGTTCTTCCCATCTGAGCTGAGTTGCCCTTTAGGAGAAAAACTGCCAATGGACTTGTCTTCTCTCTCTGGATCGCTCAGGTCTCCCTTGCCTTCCATTCCTTTCTCATCCTCCCCACACCTTCTCACTCCCTGCATGGAAAGCTCACCTTTAAGTAAAGCCGTTAGGATGGACATCTCAATATCTTGTTGCCCTTCAGATCCCATTCGGAAGACCGTGATCTAAAGATCAGCAAAGACAACCATGAGGAAAAGCAGAAGAATCATTCTGTGTTTCTCTTTTGTGCACTGAAGATTTTGAGAACTCTATTCAGTGGTTGTTGGGAGTCAAAAATGACTTGATGGTACATAATCGTTCATCCAATTCCTACAAAAATTATGGCCAATTTATTGCATGATTGATAACTCTGCACTGATAAATTATTTACATCTCAATTTAAAATTCTTTAGAGAAAGATACATTTTAAGTCAAGTCTGTGTCTACTTCTAAAAGAAAGGGGAATTGCTAACGGATTTTAATTACGCTAGGCAGAAAATTTATCAGTCCGGGACCCAGCCATTAGAGTATCTGCAACGTGGCTTTGCTTTCTTGCCTGCATGTGGATTTTCCTCCCCAAGTGTCCAACCAGAGGGATAGGCTGAAGGATTTGATTCTTAAACCCTTTCCTTTTCTTTAATACGGAAACAACGATAAAGTAAAAGTAACGAGCATAGTTTAGAAGCCTTAAGGAATCTTGATGGATTGGCTGGAGGAGGAAGAAGGAATGGGCCACAGAGATGTCCTCTTTGCAGCCATTTATCTTCAGGAAGAACATGAAGATTAAGAGTTAATCTGATCAAACTGGTTCTCATAAACTCCTAACTGCTATTGTCATGAGGACAGTTGTGATGGTGGGGGGAAGACATTCACTGATGGAGGCTTTTAAGATGGACAAGCTGATTATATCATCAGAAGGGATTCCCTAAAAAGCCAGATGTCAGTTGTGTTACTGTTTGATATCTATGGCTGTTTACTCGGGGGCAATTTATCTGGGCTGATTCCCCCCAAGGTGCCCCTGATTTGAACTGGGCATGACGTTTCTCCCTTGCCAGTCAGGAACCACCAAGAACACGCCAATCAATACAGACAAGGCAAGTAAAATAGAGGTAAGAGCAGGCCAAATAATATTACTAGTAAATGCTACCATAAATACTACTGCAATAAGAGCCTTACGAGTTCTTTCTTCTTCATACATTCCATGAGAATCACAAAGAGCTGGTGGGCTTGATTCCGACTGTAGCTGAACGTTTTCTGAATGGTGACCAGCAGCTGGTCCCGGAGAGATTCATTTATTATGCTAAAATTGAGGGAGAGAAAGCAGGAAAAAAGGAAGTTAGGCTTCAGAAATCAAGAAGGTGATATTAGATATTATGAATTGTATATTATTCTATCAATAGAAGAGAATATTTGTAGCTCGGGATTGAATTGTGGGGTCCTTGGTGCTCTCTGAGCTTGGTGGTTTTCTTGCAGTTGTTTTGTGACTCAGTTAAGGAAGATCACCAGTGCTATCATCATCTTCATTAACATTGATGATGGATCATGAAATGTCTGCATGAAAACAACCAAGCTCAGAGAACACCAAGGACCCCACAGTCGTCGTCTCCTCCTCCTCCTCCTCCTCCTCCTCCTCCTCCTCCTCCTCCTCCCTTCTCCTTCCTCCACTCTCTTCTAGTACTGATGATATTACAAGCTGGGTCATGAAATGTCTGCAAGAAAACAACCAAGCTCAGAGAACACCAAGGTCCCCACAGTCGTCTTCCTCCTCCTCCTCCTCCTCCTCCTCCTCCTCCTCCTCCTCCTCCTTTCTTCTCCTTCCTCCACTCTCTTCTAGTACTGATGATGTTACAAGCTGGGTCATGAAATGTCTGCAAGAAAACAACCAAGCTCAGAGCACCAAAGGCCTCCTATTATTTTATTCTTTATCCAAGAATTATAGCAAACAGCATGTGGTATCCCCTCCTAGTAGTACCTCATTGACCTTGGTGGGAAACAGATAAAAATAAACACCTTTGCAAAAGAAAGGACCCATGCCCCAAATAAAAGGGCAAAGGGCAAATCCAGCGGTCGGTCACCCACACCCCAGTAGCTCACCCGCCTTCTTCTGAATACTTGTGTGCAAAAGATATGATGTCCGATGCTCGTCCACTGCCGTCACAGATGACCACGGGAAGTGGGGGCTCTTCACGCAGATATTCCAAAACAATTGAGATCACGTTGGGGCCACCTTCAACTACCAATCCTACCACAGGGACTCCTTGCCCCAGGCCTGTGGAATGAATCAGGCACACCATCAGAGGTCAACAAAAGGTTTTCAAGCTAGGGAAACCTCCAGTTCTCCATCATTGCAGTTTTATTGGAATCCATATTTACAGCATATTGAACATAATCTTGGATGCAGAATAACAGAATGACAGAATTGGAAGGGATCTTGGAGGTCATCTAGTCCAACCCCCTGCTCAAGCAGGAGACCTTATACCATTCCAGACAAGTGGCTGTCCTGTCTCTTCTTAAAAAGCTCCAGTGATGGAGCATCACCCACAACCTCTGGAGGCAAGTTGTTCCACTGGTAAATTGTTCTCTCTGTCAGGAAATTTCTCCTTAGTTCCAGGTTGCTTCTCTCCTTGATTAGTTTCCATCCATTGCTTCTTGTTCCACCATCAGATGCTTTGGAGAATAAGTTGACAACCCCCCCCCCCTTGTGGCAGCCCCTCAAATATCATGTCACTCCTGGTCCTTCTTTTCATTAGACTGGACATACACAAATCCTGCAGCTGCATGCACTTGGACCACACTTAATCATAAGGGCACACATTACTCAACTATGGCAACGGCTTCTTGTTTTGAGTTCCAAGGGCCGTTCTTAGGAGCCAAGCCAAACTCTTTAGAGCTAGGTTGCAAATCATGACTGGTTGATGTTAGAGACAACAGCTGAGCAGCCCTTTGCTATCCCTGCCCCACTCTGAGCTCCAGGCATAGGATGACAAAGGGAACCCCGCCGGTCATGAGGTCCACACAAGCTTAGTCAGCAGTCAGGAAGATCCTGGATTCAAGGGAAAATGAACATAGCAATAGCCATAGAACTTAGACTTATATATCGCTTCATAGGGCTTTTCAGCCCTCTCTAAGCAGTTTAAAGGGTCAGCCTATTGCCCCCAACAATCTGGATCCTCATTTTGATATGCAGGTTCTGAGGTTTTGCTTGATAAAAAAATACAGGAAACCAGAAGTTGCCTTCAAGTGTTACATGTTTATTCAGCTGAGTAAAGACGGCTTCTCTAAAAAAAGAAAAGCTCCAAATATCAAAAAAGCCTTATTTTTATACCTACTTTGATTACATAAGCTATTCACCCAGCAAAGCTGACACACATAAGATAGAGACTTCGCCCTTTAAGGCTGGCACACTGTAGATAAGAAGTAAGAAAGCAGAAGTAGCTAATATGTTCCCTTTTGGGTGGTTTGGGTGTTTCCCCAAGGCACCGTATGTTCCTGGGTGGGTTAGAATATTGGGTGTTTCCTTTGCTGTCCTTTCATGACCTTGCAATCATGGGTCTGCAAGTGGCCAAAGAGAGTGGGGCCATCTGCACGTATTCACTGTCCCCTAAGTCTGGGTCAACAATTTTACCGACCTCGGAAGGATGGGAGGCTGAGTCTGTCAACGCTTCTAATATTGGATATTCTTGCTTTGACAAAATATGCAGAACTGTCTGGTATTTTTAGAGTTAACTTAGATGATGCTGGGAGGGGAGGAGAAAGAATGTGTCTAGGGAGTAATTAAGATAAGGAATACTGGGCTGCAGAAGGAAGTGAACCTTTGCCCTTCGGGTTGATTGGAGAATGTGATTTATGACAGCAAAATAAGGGAGGGAAAATGCTAGCAAAATAACTGCTCAGGGGAGGAGATTTCAGATCTTGGCATCCCATTCATGGCGTGGCGACATTCTGTTACACGAATAAAGACTTTTTAGGATAAACAATGCCTGGAAGTTCTTTGAAGTGTTTTATTGGAACCTTGACAGAGTCAACATTGAGCTGGTGAGGATTGAACTGCTGGCAGTGAGCAGAATTTGCCTGCAATACTGCATTCTAACCACTGCACCACCAGGGCTCCTCAACCAGGGAAAACAGCTAAGCCTAACTTGTTATGATGGTCAGGGCCTTTGAGGGCAAAAGACCTGAATCCCCTTACTTACGGGTGTTGATTTTCTGCAGAGAGATGTGCTTTTCCAGTTGGCGCCTCAGTTTCACCTCTGCCCCATATTTGCCCAGGGTGCCGTTGTCGGCGAGGATGAAGTGCGTATGGGAGCTGTTCAGCACACAAAGTTTGCTAAGCGGGTTTGACATCGTCTGATAAAGCTTCGTCACCTGTCCAGCAGAAAAGCAAAAGGTGGTTTGGGTTTAGTTGAGGGCCCCAAATCCCAACCCCACCGAGGCAGATGTCTCTGGGTGTCGCAGAAATTAAGTAGTTACTGTCACCGTGTAACCCTCTGCCATCCAGAGATGATTTCCCAGGAGGAAGAACGTTCCCAGTTAATAGAAAGCTTTAACGAGAATGTCATCAGCCAGCCAAATATAAATTTTCAGACAGATGGCAGTTTGCATCCTCTCCTGGATAAAGTGGCCAGATGCAAAGAAAGGGGGTAGATTTGCAGCATCTGGTAGCATGAGCAAAGATGGAGCTTTCAACATGAAATCCACAACATAGGTCATGGCAGCCCAAAGCCTGAGATGGATTAATTTAATTCTAGCATCAGTTGCATCCTTGTTTCCTCTTCAGGCATATAAATAAAAGCTTCTTTGCATCAAGGCCATTTCTGGTGGAGGACACTTCCTGAAGGCATCAAGGTGAAAAAGGTTGAAGCTCAGGGGAATTCTGGTTAATCTGAAAAATGGAAGCAGAGGCTTCCTGTCTCCAATTTGTGGTCTTCTTAGAAGAAGGAAGAGAAAATCCTGCACCCAACACCGATTCGCACAACACTAAGCTAGGAGTTAGCATTATCTCCAAACTGAATGAGAAAGTGACAGGAAAATTGAGGCTAAGAACAAAGCAGGAACTAAAAATGAGGTAACAGAGCTGTGAGTTAAAATGAGTCTAACACAGGGGTCTTCAAACTTGGCAACTTTAAGACCTCTGGACTTCAACTCCACAAGTTTGAAGTTTCCACAAGTTTGAAGACCCCTGGTCTAACAGATAGAAGGAAACAACAAATTTGGTTAAAAACTCTCACAAAGTGTGGGGCAAGCTCACATCTTTTCCAAGTAGATCTTCCTTGTTTTCCACAATGCCCCACGGGGCAATGCCAATGGCACAGATGCGTCCTCTGGACTTGGAAGAATGATCTTTTAGGGCATCTCCAACATGGCGAATGATTCCTGCACAAGGGAAGAGACCAGGGCATCAACCTCTTCCTTGGGATGCTTGCANCCTCCTCCTCCTCCTCCTCCTCCTCCTCCTCCTCCTCCTCCTCCTCTTTTCTTCTCCTTCCTCCATTCTCTTCTAGTACTGATGATGTTACAAGCTGGGTCATGAAATGTCTGCAAGAAAACAACCAAGCTCAGAGCACCAAAGGCCTCCTATTATTTTATTCTTTATCCAGAATTATAGCAAACAGCATGTGGTGTCCCCTCCTAGTAGTACCTCATTGACACCTTTGCAAAAGAAAGGACCCATGCCCCAAATAAAAGGGCAAAGGGCAAATCCAGCGGTTGGTCACCCACACCCCAGTAGCTCACCCGCCTTCTTCTGAATACTTGTGTGCAAAAGATATGATGTCCGATGCTCGTCCACTGCCGTCACAGATGACTACGGGAAGTGGGGGCTCTTCACGCAGATATTCCAAAACAATTGAGATCACGTTGGGGCCACCTTCAACTACCAATCCTACCACAGGGACTCCTTGACCCAGGCCTGTGGAATGAATCAGGCACACCATCAGAGGTCAACAAAAGGTTTTCAAGCTAGGGAAACCTCCAGTTCTCCATCGTTGCAGTTTTATTGGAATCCATATTTACAGCATATTGCACATAATCTTGGATGCAGAATAACAGAATGACAGAATTGGAAGGGATCTTGGAGGTCATCTAGTCCAACCCCCTGCTCAAGCAGGAGACCTTATACCATTCCAGACAAGTGGCTGTCCTGTCTCTTCTTTAAAAGCTCCAGTGATGGAGCATCACCCACAACCTCTGGAGGCAAGTCGTTCCACTGGTAAATTGTTCTCTCTGTCAGGAAATTTCTCCTTAGTTCCAGGTTGCTTCTCTCCTTGATTAGTTTCCATCCATTGCTTCTTGTCCCACCATCAGATGCTTTGGAGAATAAGTTGACACACCCCCTTGTGGCAGCCCCTCAAATATTGGAAGACTGCTATCATGTCACCCCTGGTCCTTCTTTTCATTAGACTGGACATACACAAATCCTGCAGCTGTATGCACTTGGACCACACTTAATCATAAGGGCACACATTACTCAACTATGGCAAGGGCTTCTTGTTTTGAGTTCCAAGGGCCGTTCTTAGGAGCCAAGCCAAACTCTTTAGAGCTAGGTTGCAAATCATGGCTGGTTGATGTTAGAGACAACAGCTGAGCAGCCCTTTGCTATCCCTGCCCCACTCTGAGCTCCAGGCATAGGATGACAAAGGGAACCCCGCCGGTCATAAGGTCCACACAAGCTTAGTCAGCAGTCAGGAAGATCCTGGATTCAAGGGAAAATGAACATAGCAAAAGCCATAGAACTTAGACTTATATATCGCTTCATAGGGCTTTTCAGCCCTCTCTAAGCAGTTTACAGGGTCAGCCTATTGCCCCCAACAATCTGGATCCTCATTTTGATATGCAGGTTCTGAGGTTTTGCTTGATAAAAAAATACAGGAAACCAGAAGTTGCCTTCAAGAGTTACATGTTTATTCAGCTGAGTAAAGACGGCTTCTCTAAAAAAAGAAAAGCTCCAAATATCAAAAAAGCCTTATTTTTATACCTACTTTGATTACATAAGCTATTCACCCAGCAAAGCTGACACACATAAGATAGAGACTTCGCCCTTTAAGGCTGGCACACTGTAGATAAGAAGGAAGAAAGCAGAAGTAGCTAATATGTTCCCTTTTGGGTGGTTTGGGTGTTTCCCCAAGGCACCGTATGTTCCCGGGTGGGTTAGAATATTGAGTGTTTCCTTTGCTATCCTTTCATGACCTTGCAATCATGGGTCTTCAAGTGGCCAGAGAGAGTGGGGCCATCTGCACGTATTCACTGTCCCCTAAGTCTGGGTCAACAATTTTACCGACCTCGGAAGGATGGGAGGCTGAGTCTGTCAACACTTCTAATATTGGATATTCTTGCTTTGACAAAATATGCAGAACTGTCTGGTATTTTTAGAGTTAAGTTAGATGATGCTGGGAGGGGAGGAGAAAGAATGTGTCTAGGGAGTAATTAAGATAAGGAATACTGGGCTGCAGAAGGAAGTGAACCTTTGCCCTTCGGGTTGATTGGAGAACGTGATTTATGACAGCAAAATAAGGGAGGGAAAATGCTAGCAAAATAACTGCTCAGGGGAGGAGATTTCAGATCTTGGCATCCCATTCATGGCGTGGCGACATTCTGTTACACGAATAAAGACTTTTTAGGATAAACAATGCCTGGAAGTTCTTTGAAATGTTTCATTGGAACCTTGACAGAGTCAGCATTGAGCTGGTGAGGATTGAACTGCTGGCAGTGAGCAGAATTTGCCTGCAATACTGCATTCTAACCACTGCACCACCAGGGCTCCTCAACCAGGGAAAACAGCTAAGCCTCATCTTGTTATGATGGTCAGGGCCTTTGAGGGCAAAAGACCTGAATCCCCTTACTTACGGGTGTTGATTTTCTGCAGAGAGATGTGCTTTTCCAGTTGGCGCCTCAGTTTCACCTCTGCCCCATATTTGCCCAGGGTGCCGTTGTCGGCGAGGATGAAGTGCGTATGGGAGCTGTTCAGCACACAAAGTTTGCTAAGTGGGTTTGACATCGTCTGATAAAGCTTTGTCACCTGTCCAGCAGAAAAGCAAAAGGTGGTTTGGGTTTAGTTGAGGGCCCCAAATCCGAACCCCACCGAGGCAGATGTCTCTGGGTGTTGCAGAAATTAAGTAGTTACTGTCACCGTGTAACCCTCTGCCATCCAGAGATGATTTCCCAGGAGGAAGAACGCCAGTTAACAGAAAGCTTTAACGAGAATGTCATCAGCCAGCCAAATATAAATTTTCAGACAGATGGCAGTTTGCATCCTCTCCTGGATAAAGTGGCCAGATGCAAAGAAAGGGGGTAGATTTGCAGCATCTGGTAGCATGAGCAAAGATGGAGCTTTCAACATGAAATCCACAACATAGGTCATGGCAGCCCAAAGCCTGAGATGGATTAATTTAATTCTAGCTTCAGTTGCATCCTTGTTTCCTCTTCAGGCATATAAATAAAAGCTTCTTTGCATCAAGGCCATTTCTGGTGGAGGACACTTCCTGAAGGCATCAAGGTGAAAAAGGTTGAAGCTCATGGGAATTCTGGTTAATCTGAAAAATGGAAGCAGAGGCTTCCTGTCTCCAATTTGTGGTCTTCTTAGAAGAAGGAAGAGAAAATCCTGCACCCAACACCGATTCGCACAACACTAAGCTAGGAGTTAGCATTATCTCCAAACTGAATGAGAAAGTGACAGGAAAATTGAGGCTAAGAACAAAGCAGGAACTAAAAATGAGGTAACAGAGCTGTGAGTTAAAATGAGTCTAACACAGGGGTCTTCAAACTTGGCAACTTTAAGACCTCTGGACTTCAACTCCACAAGTTTGAAGTTTCCACAAGTTTGAAGACCCCTGGTCTAACAGATAGAAGGAAACAACAAATTTGGTTAAAAACTCCCACAAAGTGTGGGGCAAGCTCACATCTTTTCCAAGTAGATCTTCCTTGTTTTCCACAATGCCCCACGGGGCAATGCCAATGGCACAGATGCGTCCTCTGGACTTGGAAGAATGATCTTTTAGGGCATCTCCAACATGGCGAATGATTCCTGCACAAGGGAAGAGACCAGGGCATCAACCTCTTCCTTGGGATGCTTGCATACAATTTAGAGAACACTAAATGTATGTATCTATTAAAGACCTCGGTCCCTTTCCCATATATTAAGACAGTCCCATTAGGACCTAAACTGGATATCTTCTTGAATGGCCAAATGGAAAACTGGTTTTACAATGATGGTACCTTTCTGCAGTTGTCTGGGATGGTCAGTCTTCCACAACTTTTACAAGTTCCACCAAAGCACTTTTAGAAGTTCCACCAAAGAAACTTTAGAAGTTCCACCAACTCTTTTGGCAGCATAGCCTGTCTTAAGCTCATTGCTTTGTTTTGGCTTCCAGCAAAGATTAGTCATGACTCATCCCCAGCGCAATAGTTACTGTAGTATCCTTCAAAGCACCCTATGTTTCTTTATCTTTCACCCACACAAACACACCCTGCTAGAAAGCAGGGCCTTGATCTCAGCCAGGTTCTTGAAAGAGAACTTCCAAGGTGATGAACAGCTGATCCTTAGATACCTGTACTGACTCCTCCAGTGAAAATCCAAGCCCCAGTGGTCATGGCAGCCTTGATGAGGCCCTTCCCAAACACTTGCTTAAGTTTGGGCTGCAGCTCAAAGTTCTGGAGCCCCCCATGGACGGATATTAAGAGCTTGGGGAGTTCTAGTTGCCAGTCCTTCACCATGAGTTGGAGCAGCAAGTCTGGCTTGGTATCATAGGACACTCGGATGTACTGCAAGATAAAAGGACACAGAAGCACTGCTGGATCTGTTCAACATCCCAGTTAGCTCATCTTCCAATTTGGCTTTCTTTCTAGCAAACTAGTTTGGTGGGAAAACAGTTTGAGCCTAGTCTAGTCTCAGGGTATTGTTTTCCAGATGTATTTTAGAGATTCCTGCCATATGTAGGAGAAGGAGGGGCAGAACCTGGGGGTGGCATTAAAAGAGGGATCAGCCTAGAATCCCTACGTAGCCACCAGCAGACTAAGTCCAACCTCCTTTCAATTCCATTGTTCCCTATCTAACTCCTGTTAGCAGGTGCTGTTAATTGAAAAGATTCCTATATGCATAAGCATTTAGCAATGTGTCGGTTTAATTGGACCTTCATGTGTGGATCTGGTCTTTTGCACCTGGCCCCAGGAGCTCCTAGCCCAACACCAGTGGCACATTTTATTTCATGAACACAATTTGACTCTTTGGGTTCCCTTTGGATTTTCTCAAAGGTCCCTTCTCCACATTGACTTACAGGTTGGCCTGGGCTGAAATCTGGGCATTGCCAAAGGGTGGATATCCCAAAACTCCCTTGCTGAAGGTGACTGATAAGGCCACCTTGGGCTGCCACCATTGATGCCTCTAAATAATGAACCTTACTCACCATGGACTTATTGATATGGCCTCCACCTTGGAACTCGAGATTTCCAAAGGCATCGGTGGGGAGGGCTTGGGTGTGTTTGCTGATGGACCATTTTTCTGGCTGAGTCTCTAACTGCTTCGCTGGGTCTTCTCCATCCTTCTTTGCAGTTTCGACCAGAACGGGGATGTGTTGAGCAAGGAGTTGGCCACAGCAGCACCTACGGCCAAAGCAAAACAGAGACATGAAACTGGGCCCAACGACTGGCATCGAACCACTTTTCTTCCTTTTGCTGTGT